CTAGTACACCTAAATTCATCACCATCAGAGACATTTAACTTTTGTATTAACTCTAAAGAAAGGCCCCACAGGGGAGACAGAAGCGCGTAGCAGGGGGGTAAACGGTACGGGACCCCGGCTGCCAACAGGTGCACTTACTTAACGTACCACCCTATCACAGTGGGGAGTTTTCAGTTTTAAAACAGCTACAATCTAAACTGTTGTATATTCAGACAAGTTTTCACCTCTGTGAATGCCTCACATTTTACACTAGAGAGTTCCTTCTCGGACCTACCTCCTCTCCCCGGGCACAATGCGGTGTACGGCAGATGGTTTGAAGCAAGTAAATGGGACCGTTACAATGGTTCTGTGTCAGTATGAGCAAAAGTCATCTCACCAACAGGCAGTTCAGATGACAAGACTAGAATGTATCAGTGTTATTCTGATCTCTCTAGGAAATGAGGGAATCCATGTTAAATTAGTAGCATAATGAATTTTTGTGCTCTGGGCAAACTTACTTGCCGCTAAGCTCTTTCAAAACAGGAGCCCTTTCCACTCACCTTCAGGAAGCCATGGGTGGGCCCTCTCGGGAGCTCCACTCACCTACTGGCATCCCCCACCCAGCAAGACCACTGCTGGCATTTGGAGCAGGACAGTTCTGCCACGGGTGGGAATGCCCTTCTCTCTGCCTGCACCGGGCCACCTTCCCCACATCCCCAGCAACACTGCACACTCCCCTAGCCTTGTCCCCACCCCCTTGCCCTCCTATGCACTCAGCTGATGCTAATTTTATGCTGCCTAGTGGATATACTATTCGGCCATTTTGACAGTTCTTCCTAAGGAGGAAAGCGCCTACTCTCTGGCTAACTTCTAACGCACCTAACACATGCTGGTAGCTGACTGGCCGCCCATTCAAAATTCATCATGCTATAATTTCAAATGAATTCTTGTCAAAAGCCTTTCAGGCTCGTCTTTACTTAGGGTGACTGTTTCTTGAACTGGACCACTTTTACATGACCTTTTTTCACATTTTTAAATTTAATAATTAGTTTTCCATGAACCCTACATTTACTCCTGAGCTTTTTCATGTCCTTTAGGAACAGCATGACTCAGGCCACCTTGGAGGCCATGTATCCCACCAGCTCTGGGCAGAGCCACCCCGACAAGCCCCCAGCCACAGGCTAGTACCCTCAAGTGCTATTCAAACCAACCCAGTGTCTGCCACTTCTAGGTTTATTTTACCCCCACGTGCATAATGCAGTCGAGAGGATCGCTTTTCATGCCAAAGCAAAATTTATACTTTTGGATAAAAATGGAATGATGGTGATTTTATTATTTTTATTGTTATAACCATTATTGTCACAACAGCGAACCACTGAGTCCTTGCAAGGCGCCAGGCACCCTAAGTGTTTAACATGCGTTACATTACTTAACGGTTTAGAAACACAAGTATTAGTCAGAAACTTTCATTAAAGGTAGAACACATCTGCAGAGTCTGCTGGGAATGAACCGGGTGCTGTTAACATGGTAACGTGAACAGCACTCCTTCTGCCTCCACGAGCTGAAGGGGCAAGCGAGGCCTGTGCCTCACCATGCAAACATGCAGACACCCAGGGGCAGGACACCAGGTGGTCACCCAAGACTTAGACATTTAATGTGATGGAGGATGTCCTACAAAAGCAACTGATGAAGTGGTTGTTGTAAATAACCTGATCATGGTATCCCCAAGATACCGGTCACTGAATCAAAAGAGTAGAGTTAAATGGCTCATAATGATACTGTAAATGATATTTTTCCTACAAATTTGCCGTATATAGTGTCATAGTAAAACTGCTTAGTAAAAAAAAGACAGAATCAAAACTCCTCCTGCCTTTTATGTTGGAAATTAGTTTAATATGTACAATACTGAGTACATTCCATTGGCAATGGGAATTAGCTGACGAGGACTCCTTTTAGTGTGTGCTGCTTGTTTTCTGTTTCTGAAGGTGCAGATGCCAGCATTTTTCAATAAAAACTCAGCAAGTCATGAACTAGGAGACAAGTGTGGCCTCTAGCAAGACCAGCCCCTTCGGCGCGGAGTCCTTGTCACAGGCCCAGGGCAGCCCCAGGTGAAGGGCGTCCCCTCAACGTGAAATCTACATGGATCATTGCAATATGAGTGTGTTTCTATTATGAGATGAATGTGATCAGGTAAATGGCCTTGATTACGTATCTTACCTTGGTCTTAAAATTTGTTATCTGTTTTCTTCATTGTATGTGTTAGTAATACCAGTAAAAACAGATTATCACACATCTTCCATAAAATGATTGTGACAGGAATGTCCCTTAGTGTGTACGATGATACACCACCTGCAGCAGACATCCTGGAATATTACATCATTTTAAGTGCAGTACAGGGCAGCTGAGTTCAAATCCAACTTGGCTGATGTGGGCTCCCATAAAAGCTGTTACCAGTGAAGGCGAAAAAAATAAGAATTTGCTCTACTAAGGGAATAAGAAATGAAGTTACAAAACACTTAAATCACATTAATTCCTTCACAGGCCTTCATCATGCAAGTGTGTAATTTTAATCTATTCTCTTCATTAGGGTGCTGTAGTAGTATGTAATAATTATTCCAATAGCAATTTTATTTCTCACATACACCTTTTTTGAGAAGAACTTAAACCACAAGTGACCTAAAATGTCTCGAAATACCAACTCTGTGAAAACCCTTTATTTCAATCAAGGGTGATAAAAGCAGGACATACAAACATGCAGTGGGCCTGTGACCTGAATAAGGGGCCAGTAGGAACCCCACACAGCAACTCCCATGGCGGCCTAACTCCCACCAGAACGGGACCAGTGGTTTACAGGACGTTGTTTTATAACACTACATTTTGCCTCCTGTGCTAAAAGGCGTTCAGCGTTGTAAACGCGTACTGTAGTTCAGTAGTGTTAACACATAACAGACAAGGCTTTTGGTTCACCTGAAGTGGTTTTAATGAACAATATAATTCTATAAAAATGAATGCTAATGAAAGATTCATATAAGCCACACCAAAGTGGCCTGATGGAAAGGCCTAGTAATTTAAATGTTTTTATATAAGCAACAGAATGCATACTATGGGATCTATGTATCACCTTCAAAATGGAGGACAGTGTATGATTTTAATATATTTAATATATAATATAAACATATTTAATAAACTATCCACTTCTGAAGTTCTAAAGAATTAAAAAAATCAATGAAATCTAATGATTATAAAATGCTTCATCGAAGTCTTCCCAAATTCAAAACAAAGATCACACTCACCCTGGTCCCAGTGAACGTCAGACCACCAAGCCTGACCCACCTGCTCTAACCCCACCCCGGCTGTGTCCACCCTGGGCTGTGCTGCCCTGAATCCAAGCCTTTGGCTGGCACAGCTTCTGACCAGGAATGACAGGAATGACAGAAAAGATTTGTTTTCAGCCTCAGAATTTTTCTTGCAACTGTATCTGACAACGGAGTAAGTAAAAACTCAATAGGATAGTGGATCAAATGGCAATTAAAGAAAAACTTATTAAAAATCTTCTTAAATAAAAAAGCTGACTTTAAGCGAAAGGGTCTATGGACCTGAAACTTTTTATTTTTAGTATTCTTCTTTAGAATTAGAATCATCATTTTTCAGGATACTAATCATAATTCAGACAAGAAAAAAGGAAAAAAATTTGTATAGAATTTGTCTTTTCCATGTTTCAATAAGTCCCTGGAAGTTCAGTGAAGAATTCGTACTGCATTTTCTTGAATGTGCCCAAATATAAGAAATGTTTAGTCACCTACACATAGCAAGCTATGAGAAAGCCCCAGCTCCCACACACATGAGCAGCTTCCCACCACTACTGGTGCGAATCCCCAAAGAAGACCCCACTCAGAGCAGCTCTCCATGTTTGCACCCTCTCAGATGGCCCAGGTCCGTAGGAGACACCCCCTCATCTAAGGCGAGGAAGCAGCCAAGGCTGAGAGACAGCAGGAGAACGGCCAGGCCCCACCAGCGGCCGTGGCAGAGACCAGGTCAGAAGTGCCACCTTCTTGCCCAGCAGGGCGGGGGTCTATCCACTCCCTGCCTTACTGCCTTGTTCAAAAAAAGCCCAAGGTTAGCATCTCCTCATAAATACTCTAAATAAACAGAACTCATGTCTACAATGAGAAAAAGAGGATCACAGGGAACAAAACAGTAAGGAATTAAAACTTGAATATAAATTCCTTGGGTAGTCACTAAAATCGGGAATCCAAAACTCCCTCTGGACAAAAACAGTGTCATACTTGCATTCTGAGGCTGCTTTTTGTTTTGTTTTGTTTTGTTTTGTTTTTAGAACAGCAAAGACTTTAAATTTGGTGATGAAGTCCAGATGTCATGATACAATGAAGGTGATAGCCTCAAGCTATTGTATATTCTGCAAATCCAGAAAATAGAGGAGTCGTATTACCATGGTGGTTCTGACTCACCTCCACACTCAAGTATCTATGAACACACGAGGATTTAAAGGACTACAACCACGGAATGCATGAGGACATTCCTCCATGAGCCTAGGTCTAAAGACCGCTGGAACCCAACACAGCAGGCAAGCCACCCTCCGTCCCACCTGGGGTGAGTGCACAATGCCTAGAGTCAGCTCGAGTGACAGTGTCATGTTAGGACCGGAGCAGACTTGCTGGGACGTGGAAAATTAATTACAATGTGAGGGCTATAGAGAACACAACATTTTAAGACAGATTTCAAGAACAATTAAACTACATCCAGACTAAAGTAGATGCACGTACATTTATACATACACTGTGTGCATGTGTGCATATCTGTGGTGCTCAAATAGACTAAAATAGTTGATTTTTTTTTTCCATTCCATGACTTATACATAGTTTAAAGAATCTGAAACTCACCTACATTTGTGGAGAGGACACCAGTGTTATGCTTGTTAAGTCTGACTTTTGCTCACACGTCAACTTGGGGAACTAAGTGGCCTTCATACGAACACCACATCACTATCATTAGTATTTTACCTCATTCTCAGTTAAGGATGCAGAAGGAGACGAACTTTTGCTAAAAGGAGTGGAAGACGCTGCTGTGGATGCCCGATTTCGCTTCTTCAGTGGTTTGCATGCATCTGACAGATGTTTCGTTGCTGTAAAACAATTTTGGTTTATAAAGTAAAGTTTGAAATCTTACATTTCTCTTAACTGCTTCAATCTCTTAACTGCTTCAAAATTAGCCCTGTAATAAATGAAGTTCTAAAGATACATTTTCTGGGCTCCTTTGTCATAGTAAAGGCTTAACTTTAGTTACTGTGAAAAAATCTGAACAGAAACAAAAGTAAATTGTCCAGTGAACTTCAATGTCCCCCTGCCTGGCCTGCCCCCCAATCCATCAACCTGGGGCCAACACAGCTCCATCCACACCTAGTTTCACATCCCCTGCCACATTCTTCTGGAGCAAATTACAAATATCATTTCACATGTAAAAAGTTCAGTACATGTCTCTGAAACATAAAGTTTTAAATATAACCACAAGACCACTCTACCATTTTTAAAAGTAACAACCCCTTCATATCATCAAATATCCACTCAATGTTCAAACTGCTCACAAATGTCTTTCTTTTCAGTCTATCTGATTTTTGAAAACCAGCACAGCACCTCATGCAAAATAAGGAAAACACATCCATTTCCAACTCTCGCTCCTTTCTCCCCTGAATGTTGTTTTCCTTTCTAATTAAGAGTCGGTGACAGGCCGGGAGGCAACACGGTGGAAGAGTAGGGGACCTCGTTTCATGTGGTCCCTTGAATTTAGCTAGACGACTATCAATCATTCTGAACACCCAAGAATTTAACCTGAGAGGCAAGAAGAGCTGGAGGGCGCCTGGGTGGCTCAGTCGGTTAAGCGTCCAACTCGTGATTTCAGCTCAGGTCACGATCTCAGGGTCATGAGATAGAGCCCTGCTTTGGGCTCCTTATTCAGTGTGTGTGTGTCGGGGGGGGGGGTCTGCTTGAGGTCCTCTCTCTCTCTCTCCCTTGCCCTCTGCCCCCTCCCACCCTCTTAAAAAAAAAAACAAAAAAGTTGGAGATGGTAAGCTCTCTGTAATAAACTGTCAGACAGACACTTCAAAAAGACAATGAGAAGGGAAAGGGAGCCTGCTTCCCCTTTCATTGCTTTGAGTTATTTTTCACAAACATTTGAAGCTAGTTTCTTCAACATGTGAAAGTCATTACTTTTACTTTTACTGAATATACATAGATGACCAGATACTCAAAAGTGGTGTAATTTATAGCAACAACTGGCACTGTCAAGTAAGAAACCTGGATATTCCTGGTTTAAATAACTTCTTCAGTGTAATTTTAAACTGAAAATAAAGCCCCGTAGAAACCAGTAGAAAAATAACTTCAATAAAATGTAGCTGGAGCGCTGCGACCACTTACACATTCAGTTGCACAACAACCTCCCTTCCCCCTTTATTAGCTGCCAGACCCCTTGGAGGCCACCCCATACCCTTCCCGGCCCAGCTTCCTATTCGCCTCCAGCCCAGCCCAGGCGCCTGGGAGAGCTGACAAGGAAGAAGCACTAACCACATTACCTGCCTGGCTCTTCAGCGAGGAGGCTGCCTCGATGGCCTTGCAAGAGCTTGTTCGGGCTGTCTTGTCATTGATCGTCTCTCTCTGTTATTAAATAAAAAGAAAAAGAAGAAGAAAAGGAAGGGGGGGGGATCTAATGTGAACTAACACAGGCTGCTGAAACGTTGTGCAACAGAAACGTCTTCCTTTGGAAATGTGCTCCACACACTCCATGAGCAGGGACCCAGGCTCATGCCTCTTCCACAGCCGGGAGACTCTCCCCTGAGCCTGCCCCACCGTCTGCTGGGACAGAGGGGCTGGTGGGGCGTGATAGAGTCATGTTGCTGAGACTCTTCACGTGAGCTGCATTCGATATGCTACTCAAATTTCCCTCTGAATTCAAAGCAGAGTGCGAAGGAGAAGAAAACAACCCTTCTGCTCCAGAGGTTGCCCAATCAACCTGAAGTGGGGCCTCAAGTCAGTGCCAACATCACTGCTCTAAATCCCTACACTGACAATTTCCAATTTGGAGACAAGGTCCAGACAAACCTCACAAAGATCATCAATAAAGCACGTTTCACAACTGAGAAAAACCACACACACACACACACACACACACACACACACACACACACACACACACACTCTCAGGAAGGGCTGAAGGGCTCAGGAACATTTTGTCCAGTGTTCAGAATCTGAAGGAGTTGAAAATAACCTCTCTTGACAGCCCTGAAGCAGTCCCGAGGCCGGGCCGGTTCCTGCACCCCAACCCCACTCCCCAGCCTGCCGGGGGCCGATGGAAGCAGCCGCAAGACTGTGGACAGGGGCACAGGAAGCACACAGGATATGGCCTACTCAGGTTTATAAAAACTCAACCGGGGGGAGACACAACTTCTCTTTTATTATGTGCTACTTCCTGAGCTCTTCGTTGATAAAACATTTCTACCTATCTACTGAATGTTAATTTTGATATTTCAAATGTCCAGAGCCACACATTTTTTAAGGTAAGTATGAAATACAAATACCTCAAGGCAGCCGATGTCAGTCTGACTGCGGCACGGGGCTGCTTTAATAACAGGCGGCCAGAGGGGACACTCCAGAGTGTGAGCTGCCAGGTAACGCAGATGTCACGCAGGTCAATTTTACCTATCTTGGGGCTGGATACTTGATCACTAACGACCTCACCTGACAGGTGTCTGGAAGAATGTTCTCTTGGCCAGAAAAATAGGGCAGGGCCTCCCTGCTGCCCTGAACTACAACAATGGCCTTAAAGAAGCAAGACGGGGCGCCTGGGTGGCTCAGTCATTAGGCGCCTGCCTTCAGCTCCGGTCATGATCCCAGGGTCCTGGGATCGAGGCCCGCATCGGGCTCCCTGCTCAGTGGGAAGCCCGCTTCTCCCTCTCCCGCTCCCCCTGCTTGTGTTCCTGCTCTCGCTGTCTCTCTCTCTGTCAAATAGATAAATTAAAAAAATCTTAAGAAAAAAAAAAAAAAGCAAGACAGATGTTGCGGTGGCCACATATTTACACTTCAACAACATGTGGATTTTTCCATTCTTCAAAATAAAACAATAAAGAAAGGAACTTCTTAATTCAGATTAGTAAAAGATAGTATGAAGCTTTCCTCAAAATCATAAACACACGACAACTCTGTATACACTCAAACATAAGATGCAAAGTCTGTTTCAACTCTCTCAGTTCATGATTAAACGGCACTGGGCCATAAAGCGCACTGGAAAGGGCTCACACTCTCGCACGCATGGGCACCGTGAGCCAGATTCACACTCCTTCAGGTACCGGGCAAACTTTGCCCCTCGATGCCTGGTGGCTACACTAGAACTAGACGGCCCTGGGGCTGGACCTCCGTTATCTGTGTGGTCGCGCAGCCTGCTTGGTAGTCCCATTAGGTAAACAGTAACACGAATTACTAACAAACTGAATGAATTCATAGAATCTATTTTCAATGCCTTTAATGGATTTTGAAAAACTTTTTTTCTTGAAGTGTGACATATCGCTAGTGGATTGTGATGTTTTCATGCCAAGCCATTATTTACACATTGAACAACAGCCCTAAGGAAGAGCGCAATCTTGAGTGTATACAATTCCATCAAATCTAAACATCAAGTGTTTCTCAAGTGTTTGGATTTCTTCTTTGATCCAAGTGCCCGAGGTTTGTGTTCAAGTCCCTGGCAGGTAAGAACTTGCTCTCTTCAGCGGCCCTCTCAGGGGTCAGGAGAGAAGCCAGCCCCACTGCCTCTAGCACAAAGCCCGCTGAGCACCACCCTCGTCCGGGGAAGGCCATCTGCGCCCCCCCCCCCCCCCCCCCCGGAAAAACCCCCCCAAAGCACCCCCCCCCCCCGGGCACGGCCCCCCCCCCCCCCCCCCCCCCCCGTAAGGGAAACAAAGCCGCTAAAGAGTCGCAGCCCCCCACCGACCGGACCGGCCGCACTTACCTTCCGGAGACCGTGCTTGTCGGTCCTGGGCCTCTTCCTGGCCGCGTCGCCCGCCTCGGCGTCTGCAGCGTCCTGTCTCCTCGTGTGGTTTCTCTTTTTCCCATTCACGGTACCTTGGAGCGGGGGAGGGGGAAATTTGCATGAAAAACACTCCACAAGCCTCCCCCCAGAGCAGAGACCACCCAGCCAGGGCACTCGTGCAAATCCAGCCCCTGACGGGCTTCCTGCAATCCTGTTGGCTTCCAGGGCCCAAGTCCTACAGACCAGATCTCTTTGCATTTTGCAAACTGTAAGGGACCATTTCCTGTAACATCAAATACTAGAAAATCCTTATCTGATCTACAGACTATTATACTGGTACTTGTTATAATTCCATTTTAATGTACTATAACATTAAATTTAAATATAACCCACTAGATTACTAACATTCAAAGACTAGTGGAATTTAAGTGCAACTTTAAAAAGTACACAACTTGCTACTTTTTATACATTTCCTGAAAGAAGTATGTTACGTAGCAACACTCCTTTTGTATCTGCAAATTAAGGGCTTTGTGTTGTTTAACTATGCCAGTTATTAGGTATTTCCAGGAATATCAACTAACCCAAGATTTAAGGTCCTGACCTAGAAAAATAAGATGTAATAAGGTAAGAGTGCAAGTTCTAGAGAGGTGATTAATTTGAACACACCAATGTTTATTTCAAGCACAAATCCAGTATTTCCATTTGCATGACTGTTTTACAGAGGTTCCAGGGTTATCCCTGGACTGTTGGTCAGACATCTGGTGGGAGGGAGGGCAGTGTCATCCTCAAACCTTACTACCAGGTGGGACAGAGTAGCACAGCCAGGAGTGTGGCATCCAACAGTGCCTCAGGAGGAGGTGCAGCTGGCCACACCCCAGTCACTCTGGCCAGGGCCTCACCACAGGCGGAGGCCTGATATTACCAGACCCTCAGAAGCTGCCAGTCCTAGAAGAGCGTGAGCTGGCCTACATACACTACGCCCCCCAGCACTGTGGGCTGGCCATAAAGGCTCACCGGGAAGAGGCCTGCAGAGCCGTGCCGTCTGCTCCGTGGCTCACCAAGCATAACCAGCACAGGGCAGAGCCAGCCTGACCTGCCGGAACCTCCTCAATCTGGTTTGCCCAACTTCATCAACATGTGTCCACTGAGCTATAGATACCTGTGAGCAGCAACTGCCACCTCACCTTCACACAGGTGAGATGATGTCACAGTCCTTTACCTAAGAGCCTCCCCCTGTACCCGGAATGAGACAGCAGGCGTTTCATCCAGACGTAGGCAATGTGGGCATCTGTTTGAATTCCTCACACTGAGGCCATGGGACAGCTGATGCCACCGACACAGCCCATCATCTTGGTTATCGGCACTGGGGGCCCCCAAAAGGGAGGCTAGAGGGGCCTCCAGGACACACACACACCTGACATACACTGAGGGTGGGAAGCAACCCTGTCCTCCTGCCTGCTAAGTACTCGGTACACACAATCACAGTCACACTTAACTCTTGACGGGTAGTTAAATCTGGCTTCAGGAAAACCTGACTCATTCTTAAATAAGCCAGTCATTGAAAAGGTCCCACTCTTCTAGCTCTAGTGTACTGATGAAGAGTCAAGTGAACGTCTGCCCTTTACAGAAAATGCACAAATCCAGAACATCCTCGCTATTCTAAATTATAGTATTTGCGACAAACGCTGAATTGAACAAAATTCAGTATTAATATACGAGACAGTTGATGTAGAGATCTAGAAAGCCCTAACATCAAGAGCATCTGTGAACAAACAGGAAGGTCGCATAAGTGCGCGCGCAGAAAGAGTCGGATGCACACAGTGCTGGTCTAGAAGTGGTCTAAAGGCACATGCCAGTGCACACAGTGACTAGTGCAATGACTTCTGGGTCTTGGTCTCCTTTTAGGTGAGTCTTGAAACACTTTATATTTGGCCTCTCCAAAACTCTTCAGTGATGAACCTTGAGAGATACAGAATTGTTTTGTATTTTAAATTGATAACCATATATTTTTTATGTTAGAAATGTCGGTTTTCCATGACATGTGTCCAACCACGCATGGATGACAGATCTGACCGCTGTTAAAGGTTCTCTCCAAGCTTAACAGTGTTAAGCCTCCCTTCTCTTTCCAATGACCAAAGCAAAGTAGCATTTTTTATTTTTTAAACTGAAGGCCTAAGAAGAACCAGAGGACAGCCACATTTAAGGTCGGTCCACAGTCACCTTCCTCACCCTGTGAGCTCTCAAGGAAACAGGCCAGGAACGCCCTCCCTGCTCCCAGGTCCAGAGCCCCCCACCTGCAGAGGTGAGGCCCTCCTGTAGTTCCTGCTGGGAGGGCATCACCGCGGGGCCACAGGCCTGCAGTCTGACCCTACCACATCATGTAAGCCTGGAGTCCTAGAGACCGCCTAGGCTCCTTTCCTTCTTGTGTCCCCCTCACACCACCCCATCGGCTGCAGAGGCTAGAGTGCCCGCTCCACTTGGGCTCACAGGCCAGAGAGAGGATCACACCGAGCAGCTCTCATGACAACGAGGGAAAAAATGCAGACAGCAGAGGTTGCTTTATTGTGACCACACACACTCTGGTTGCTGGCACAAGCACCACGGGTCAGAGCTGGGGGAGCAGCCACGCTTCCCAGACCGGAGCTCAGCCACACGACGCACATGTCACAACTAAGCCGAGTACGCTAGTACAGCTTTACGTTTACCAGAGTCTTCCTCAGACTGGGAAGAGGCCACCAGGGCAAACTTTGTGTTATAGCGTGCTTTCTGCTTCTCGTTGAGCATGTCCCACTGGGATCCAAGCAACTCTTCGATCTCCTCACCTGAGGCGTCTGGGTGCTCAGCAACAACCTGTGGACACAGGAAAGGTGGGGTCAAGAAGGCCACATACCTACAACTCAGCTGGGTTTTGTGTTGCACAAAATCCAATGCACAGCCCTTGGGAACTCAGCATGTGGTGTATTTATTCCATCATGGGACAATGCCCCATAAAAGCTTCAAAGAAAATTAGTGATTATCTGATGCTATAACCCACTGAAAGCTCATAAATAAAAACAGTGCTGGTGAAAATAATTCAACTGTATTTATGTCAAGGAAGGAAACAATAAATGGTAAGAGGAAAAAATACACTTGTCCAAAATCACTAAATTATTACTAGTAAGTTACAATTATCTAGGTATTCCTGAAAAATCAGTGGTAGGACAAGTGCCACGGAAACACTACCTGTCAACACAGGGGTGAAGTCTTAGCTTGGCTTTCTCATTTGCTATAGCATACATCCATCTCTCAGGTACATGGCTCTGGAAGGATGGTACAGGTGGCAGGCCAAGGAGCATACCATGATGCCTCACAGTGCAGGCCAGCACACAGAGACAAGCCCCCTGCATGGCCCTCCAGCCATGCTGGGGCTGCCGGCATCAGCACCCCAGAAGCATGCTAGAAATGAGGACATCAGGCCCCACCCCAGACTTGCCAACCAGGAACCTGCATTTTCCCAAGGTCTGCAGATGATGATCCATGGGCCCACAGCCTTGCCTGCACACTAACAACCAGAGAAGTTTTAAAACCTCTGGTGTTCAGGTCCCACCCAAGGCCAGTTCATTCACTGCGTCTGGCATCAGTGTTTTCAAGACTCTCAGGGGCTCTCATGTGCACCCAAGCCTGAGAGGTATCAACAGCAGGGGCACAGAGGTGGACAAACGGTGGCTGGCAAGCCAAACCCACCCCACCTCCTGTTTTTATACGGTCTATGAACTAAGAATTGATTTTACATCCTTCAATGGTTGAAAAAAAAAGTCAGAAGAATATTTCCTAGCACATAAAAATTACAGGAAATTCAAGCATTCAGCGTTCACAGATAAAGTTTTACTGGAAGCAGCCACAGGCACCCCTTTACCTGTTTTCTAGGGCTGTTCTCCTGCTACAACAGCAGAGCTGAACTGACACAGGCCTCAAATGCCCCGGAGGCCCTCTCAAAAAGGTTTGCTGCCTGATTCTGAGCACTAGCCAGCATGCTTTGGAGCCAGACCCCAGATTCGCATGTGGCTCCCCCACGTGGCAGCTCTGTGAACTTGGGTAAGTGAAGGTGTCTCCCCCTCTGTGATGTGGGGCTGCTAACACTTCACCTGGCAGTGATAAGGAATCAACGAGTTAATCCTGCTGGTCACTATTACCACCTAGATCCACCACCTGCCCAACCAACATAGGTAACCTCTGCCCCAAAATGCAAACCCCTACTCACAACATGGTCACTGCAGACGGCTTCCTACAGCCTCCCGTGTCTCCCACACCTCATCGTGTCGTCCCCGGCCCTGATGGACACCGGCACACCACCAACTTCCACCCACCCTCGCATCTCAGAGCATGTGCATTTTCAGATGTGGATCAACAACCACCTACACAATCATCCTGCCCTTCGGTGTCCTCACAGCCCGAGGACGCCTTCTGCAATTCAAAGTCCAGCTCTGGGCTCCAGTGTTCCACCGGGTGTTCTCCTCGGTGTCCCTTGTGAACTGTCACCATTCCCACCTTGCCCCTGCCTCAGCAGTCCCGGCCCCGCACACACCTGCTTCCTCCTCTCATCTTGGGGCAGGGCATCCTCACCACTTGGCCCACAGCAGGAGTCTGTCCTGCCTGCCCATCCTTCATGAGGGCGAGCTCACCAGCCCCAACATTTCAAGCATCAAAGGTCTCAGACCTTCAATGCAACAAAGGTTTCTGTGCAGAGTTTCAAAGTCACAGGACAATTGCCTGCCAGAACTCTCCACTTGAAGATTCCTCAAGATTAGCACATGCATTTGTGGACCCACGACCCTCCTTGCTCACCCACCCCTGAGTACAATATCCTCAAACAGAATGAAGCCTAGCTAGCAGTGTTCACAGCTGCTTCATCAAACAAGACTCCTGAATCCTCCTTGAAGGCCCCTTCCCCTTGCACCTAAATCCATGCCAGGCTGGCCAGCTCCACTCCTGAACATCTTTGTGTCCACCCCATCGAGATGGCTATGGTTTCAGCAACCAGTCTCCTGGCTTTCAGTCCTATCCATCCACCTGCTGACATTCGCATCCTAAAAGGTCTCCCTCCTTGCAATCAGAGGGACCACAGCCCAGCCCACAAGTAGGGTAGGGTCCCTGCCACTTGGCAATGTCTTCCATGGCCACTCATAACCTGGAGCCCATCCTCACCCCACTTTTCATCACTCCCTGAACAACTCTGCACTCAGGGGCACAATGGCAGGCTCCATCTCTCCCTGAAACATTTTCTTCCACCAGGCTGACTTTGGATCACCCTTTTAATTTCAGCCACAATGCTATATTCACTCGCTCACTCATTCATTCAAGGAACATTCTGTGCTAGGGACAGAAAATAAAAAGGTCAAAGCAGCCACCATCCCACCCACAGTGCTCACCTTCTGGAGGACCATCTGCTTATTTTTCATCCCTAATCATATACTGTGTACTCCAGTGGGGGCGCAGAAGTATCTCCATCTTCATTTTAGGTTAATAAGGCACTGGCTGCTCAGTGAAGTTGATGGGTTTCATCAATGAAGCAGTGCAGTACAATGCTTACACGTTCTGTGCGTGCCTGTGCATGTACACACGCACGCATGCATGCACACACCCGTGATTATTCGGGCCAAGTCCCAGTCCTTCTTCCTGCCTGTGTCCTCCTACTGGTAAAGGAGAGTCACTTTACATATCTGAGTTCAGGGTAGCTAGCTATAAGACAGGGATAATTTACGCCAACCTCGAAAGGCCTTTATGAGAATTGAATTTTTCACAGTAACATACTGGCAATGTATCTTACAGATGGTAAGCACTCAGTAGTGGCTACTTCCATATTTTTTTTAAAAATTTATTTATTTGTGGGGCGCCTGGGTGGCTCAGTTGGTTAAGCATCTGCCTTCAGCTCAGATCATGATCCCAGGGTCCTGGGATGGAGCCTCGCATCAGGCTCCCTGCTCTGCGGGGAGCTGGCTTTGCCCCGTCCCCACCCCCCACCCCGACTTGTGCTCTCGCTTGTTCTCTGTCAAATAAATAAATACATAAATGAATAAATAAATCTTTTTAAAAAAAAAAAGATTTATTTATTTGAGAGACAGAGAAAGAGAGCATGTGTGCAAGCAGGGGTGGGGGTAGAGGGAGAAGGAGAGAGAATCTTCAAGTAGACCCCCCACTGAGTGCACAGCCGGACGTGGGACTCCATCTCAGGACCCTGAGATCCTGACCTAAGCCGAATCCAAGAGTTGGGACACTCAACTGACTGAGTCACCCAGGTGCCCCAACCATATATATTTTTTTAAGATTTTATTTGTTTATTTGAGAGAGAGAAAAAGAGAGAGAGAGAGAGAGAGCATGAGCTGAGAGGGAGCTGAGCAGAGAGCCCGATGCAGGACTCGATCCCAGGACCCTGAGATCACAACCTGAGCCAAAGGCAGGCGCTTAACTGAATGAGCCACCCAGGGTACCCGATTTTTAATAAACTATCTCAGACATACAAAAAAAATATGGAAAACCAGATACCCACAAGCTCACACACACTGTGCTGATTGAACTGCTACCACTACAAAGATTCAGAGCGCTCCTCAGAGATGGCACTCCCCGCCCTCAGCCCACCTGTCGCCTCACACACCCTTTGAGAGCTCTGTGCGCCTTTTAGAGATGGCTACAGCCCCCTACAGCTCACGCTCAACTCCTAGTACTCCTGCCTCCCTACTGAAAAGCACGGCCAATGTAGCCGATGCAGAGTGCAGAAACAGCGGCACACAGTGTGTCAGGTCTGAGACTTACAGAAGACCTCAACCTGCCCTCTCACGGATCACCCGCTCCATGAGAAGCCAGCCTCTGTGCTATGAGGACACCCCAGCCAACCCATGGGGAGGACCACATGGTGAGGCCTCCTTCAGGCAATAGCAGTACAGCACCTTGGAAGAAGATCCTCCAGCCCCAGTCAAGCTTTTAGATGATGCAGCCCCAGCCAACATCTTAACTGTGACCTCAAGGGACATTCTGAGTCAGAACCACCCAGCTAAGCTGCTCCCAAATTCCTGACCCACAGAATCTGTCCAAGAATCCATGTGCGTTGTTGTTTTAAGCCACTTAGTTTTGAGGTCAAGTGTTATGCAACACTACATAACTGACACGAATATATATACAAAGAATGGAGACATATTGCATGGTTCAACTCTAATGCATCTGTAAAAATTCGGATCAGAGAAGGTGGGAAAGATTCTTTAAAAATGGGAAACTGAGACCATACACATCAGTAGTCAATGACACTGCTACTGATGCTTGAAGCCTTCAGTAAATTCTTCCTGGGCTGTTCATCACAGCGAGGGGGTCCCCCCCTAGCTGCTGCTCCTGCCTCCTTGCCTGCAAACAGAGTCCCCCCCTCCCCACCCTCGTCCCACCCAGGTCCTCATCACTGGGCCTACATCCCACTGTGGACACTGTCTTCCAGCAAACTCACTGCCCCCCCTGCAGCCCCTCTAACTGTATTCCAGAATACCACAGAACACACTTGTGAGCTGCACATCTAAGCTGAGCCCGATGGACAAAGATGAACAAGCAAAACATGTTAATGAAGAACTCAATACATTTCACAAAGCATAACACTTTCCTTCATTTGCAAGAAGCTGGACCTCAAAAAAGAGTCAAATGGTAGCCAAATGTCCTTGATAGTCATAGTCTTCTATCTAGTGACCCTAGAAAAGGGGGGTCCAGGAAGCAGAGGGAAGTCTCCATCCAATGCTGTTCCTCAAGAGTTGGGCATTGATTAATCAATCAACAACCAAACAAAAACCATCCTCAGAGTCACCACTACCTCCCAAAAGGAAAACACAACCGAGAAAGACCCAGACTATTCTCAACTGGAGTCTAGGATTACTAATTACAGAACCAGCACATACCCACTTGTAATAAAAACAAAGTAACTGAACCAGTTAAAGAGTCTCCTGCCATCATCACTCTTCTGACAACATATAATTACTCAAAATCAACGAGCACCTGAGCCCAGCTGGGAGGGAGGGGGCCCATGGGCCTCACACTGCCCCTCAGCCCTACAGAGACTGGGCACAAGCAGGGAAGAGCAGAGCAGAGCACCTGTCTCTAATGCAGAACTGAATTTTAACTGTACACCTTCAGTGTGATTGTTGCATGTAGCAGGATGCCAATGGCAACACTGTACAGAATGGGCTCTGGAGGGGTGCTCAGAGCCAAAGAGCTCCAGAGCAGAGGCCCTGCTCCTTGAGGGCAGAGCACCTCACCCATGTGTCAGCCTTCAGGCCGCAGCTTATCAGCAGTGTCCGGAGTGACAGGCTTCTGTTTGTTCTCCGCACATTTCTTAGTACTAGAAAGGCCATCTGAGAGCAATTTGGGTCCCCAAAAGCAAAAAGGGTGGTCTTTGTAAAGTGGCTTGAATTCTCAGGCACCCACTTTTCTCTCATAATTTCAAATGAGTGGAGAGACCATGGAGAAACAGACTAGGAACAGGCTGGAGTGCAGCTGGCTGTCCCAGAGCATGCAGCTCTCCAGCAACCATGCTAGGCATCTGGCTGTGAACATGGTGGTGCATATGCAGAGCGTGCCACTGGCACCCCTGGCCTGCAGCAGGCCCGGTGTGGTAGCTGTTCACACTGCCCAGTGCTCGGCACCATTTCAAAACTGGCAGTGGCCACGGCTTCTCCACCTTCCCTGGGAAGACTTCTCAGCTCTGAAACAGAGGACACACATTCACAGCTACATGTCTACTCTTCTGGGATGGATGCAGGTAGACAGGTAGGTAAAACAGGTGGGTTATACTTCTCACACTTCATCGGACCGGGATGGGATGTGCACAGCCATCAGCACACTGCCCTCCCCCTGGACCTCCAGTGGGCTCACGGCACTGGTGCCCGGAGTCCCGCTGTAGGGACACAGCACTGCTGTCACTCCTTTCACAGCCTTCCAGCTTCGAATACTGCGCCATTCCCTTGGGCACCAAGGGCCGAATACCTGGGCATGACATTATAATACATAAAAAACACGCATCTTCAATTCCACTATATACTGCCTGGTTTCTCTTGAAACCAGGTGGAAGAAAGGATGAGGGTTCTCACTGCTGCTCAGCATTCCTGAGGCACTGGCTTGTGCTGCTCACCTGGGGGCTGGGGAGAACACCCTCATCACAGCTGTGTATCATCTGCAGCGCCCCGGCTGCCAGCGGGCTGAGCAGCATCTCTTCATGGATGCACTGGCTGTCCAGACTTTTCTAGAAATTGCCATTTTCATAGCCTTCAGAATCATTTGAGCTTGTACACACCATTCATCTTTTCATTGTGTTCATGGTGTCCTTGGCACATAAACTTTCATAGCTCCTCAACGATCTATGATCAGTTTGGCTTAAGAAATCCTCCCCTCTCCCAAAGCACAAAGCTGTTCCACAGGAGCTGAGTTGTGAAACCACTGGGGTGGTCCCAGTGCCCATCCTGAGCAGCCAGCCTGTCCAGCTGTCTGCACCCCTTTCCCATCTGCTTCCACATGCTCAAGAGTCTGCTTCCGGGCTCTATTCGGGATGCTGCCACTGCCCTGAACATCCAAGGCACAAACGTCCCTGCTTCTAGCAACAGAGCTTCCTATGGGACAAGGCAAGTCTTCAGATGAGGCTCTTTATCATCCACTTAAAAAATGCAAAGAAATTCCTATTGGGAGTTTTATTAGGATTATACAGAATTTATAGTTTAATAGAAGGAGAATTGACAACTTCAACTCCAGAATACTGAACCTTCCTATCCATTAACATGTCTGTTTATTTAGGTCCGCTAAAGTACCAAGCATTATTTTTCTCCAGAGTTATACATATTGTGTTATATTTATTTCTTGGTACCTTATTTTTTGTTGCACTCGTAAATGGTGTGTCTTTTTTTTTTCCTTAAGATTTTATTTTTAAGTGGGGCTCAAGCTCATAACTCCGAGGTCAAGAGTCACATGCTCCACCAACTGAGCCAGCCAGGCGCCCCAAGTGGTATCTGTCTTCATGCTACGTTTCCTCTGTGTTGCTGTTCTTGTATACTGATCTCACATCCACCAGTCCTAGTGAACTCTTATTAATTCTAAATATTTTCTGTAGATTCTCTTAAGTTTTCCACACAGACCTCTGCAAACAATGGCAGCTTTATTTCTTCCTTTACAGTTAGGCCTTTTTCGTTCCTTTCCCTTCCCTTACCGTCCCGGTTAGTATTTTCTCTACAACACTTAAGGTTAAGTGGCTAAAGAAAGGCATCTAGTCTTGTTCACAATTTTAAAGCGAATGCTTCTAAACTTTTATTAATAAGTATGATGCTTACTGAAGGGTTCTGATTGATACTCTTCAACAGATTAAGGAAGTCACCTTCTAATCCTGGCTTGCTAACTTCGTATCAAAGAGCAATGAAATTTATCAAGTTGCCTTTTCTCCATCTACTGAGAGGCTCATTTAATCTGCAACACAGTGAATCACATACCAGATTTTCTCACATTGTACCAACTTTACATTACTGAGAAAAGCCCTACCGACCCACTCACTTCAAGTACTATTGAACATAACAAAAAAAAAAAACAGGCACTTAATCCCTTCAGTTCTTTACAATCAAGCTTTACAACGTACTAACAGATGCCATATTCTATGATGACAATTAAGGAAAGGGTTCAAATGCTTTCATCGTTGATATACCCCGGTCCCTGGTATCTTCTCACCCACAACGGGAGAGACAATTTTCATAACCAAGAGTGCAGAGGCAAGGATCTTTGCCCCCAAGGGTGAAAATGGCTGCTCCCTAACAATATTTATTAGATCGAAAAACTCTGCCAGGCTCACTACAGACTGTGCTGATAATGCTGAGAAACAAGAGAAACAGCATTGAAGGGATGTTCCTCAAATTCAGGAACTCCCCAGAATAAATACACAACACCTTAGAACCCATCACAGTACCCACCTCATCCCTGTGCTTCTGACAGAAAACCAAAAACTGGGACACCGCATCTCCCTTCCTGCTTCGTGGAGCAGAGGCCGTGGTCTTCTTCCTTCCAGGAGGAGACCCTACTCCTCTCTTGGGGTCGGCTTCTGCCATCTTCTGAGGAGTACTCTTTACCGTCCCAGGGTCACTTTCTTGGTGTTCGGCAGAACTAGACAGCTTGGCTCTCCGCCTTCTCTTGATGGGAATGCCCTCTTCTCTCATGGACTTGGGGTTATCAGCAGCTTCTTCAATGACTCCTGAGGATTCTACCATTTGTCCCGGAGACTCCACAGCAATACTTGCCTCCTTAGCTACGTGAGGGTTGAGATGAAGCTGGTCCCCCACGTAGAGGAAAGTGAACTTAGCTCTCCGCTCCTCTACCGACATGCTTGCAGCTTCTTCTGCTTGAACGATGCCCATTTCCCACTGGGCCCTCAATTTCCCTGAAATAGGTTTCAACAGCTGAAAAGAAAAACATAAGACATTGTAAGTTTCATTATACAAACAAAAAAGTAACCCACTTTAAAAAAAGGATACTTTTATAATTCCAGATAAATTGAGAAATCAAAAACTATAAAAGCGAATTAACTTGAAGGTTTTAGACAGAATTCAGCCCAATACAGTAACTACTATTTCTTTAAACTGGAAGTCAATTCCAAACACATTTAACTAATGGAATACATATATCACATAATATATATTATATATAACATTTTTTATATTTTTATATATACAGAAAGAATAAAAATTATAAAACAAATTATCTCTACTATCAAATGGGTGAAACGAATAAACTGTTCCTAAGGAAACTTGTCATGTTTTGTAACACAGTGTACTTGGGTGAAGTTAAACAATGACAGACATAAGCCATTATACTAAATCAAGCAACCGTAATTTCAAAAAAGATAAATAAGAATAAAAATTAAAGTTTTGGTCTAAAATTATACTTAAGGAACATCTATCACCTTAATCTTCTCAGCTTTCGTGGGTGCCTGCTTGGCACTTTCCTGGCATAATTTTTCAAACTGTCCTTCTCCTTCAAAAGCTACAAGGCTCTTCTCAAATATCCAAGCTCTTTCTGGGGCATCACCAAAGAACTGTACGTGATACTGGCGTGCACTCTTTTTCTGACCTAGTTTTTAAAATAAAATGTTAGAACTTCAAAGTTAGAATTTCGGATGAAATTAGGCAAGTCTGTCAAGGACTACTGGCATGAAGCTGGGAGCCGCTCTGCGGCCGTGCCGTCCGGGCCCGTCCGGGCCGCTAACCTCGAGGAAGTCCCACTCTTTTTACCCCCTCCGTGCTCCATGTCACAGAGCAAGGGGACACATTCATGGGAGCCCAGGTAAGATTCAAATTAAACTAGGAAACAAAGTGGACATCTCCTTCCTTCCAAGATCCACTTAAAAAGATCACCAAATAAAGAAGGCCAAGAGACAACATCAGCAAAAGGGCCCTTCAACAGAGAGGGGCCTATGCAGCAATGAAGGGGTACAGACTGCGGTCAGACAGCCTGAGTCCAATCCCAACCTCACCACCTACCAGCTGGGCAACCTTGGGCTGGCTACTCACTCACAATGCTCACAGGGGGAATCGGGGCACCAATGACCTCTGAGGGCAGCCATAAGGTCACAGGGTAACCCCTCAGATGTCATCCTACAGTGCAGCCACAAGGGAGGTGGGTGAGGAAAGAGACGCTTGATCCCAAAATCCAAGAGAGGAGATGCCATTTTCGGCTGAGGAAGAGTGAGGTTGAAAACAAGCAAGCTGGTTAAAAGGTCAGATTTCGGTACGCCTGGGTGGCTCAGTCAGTTAAGCATCTGACTCGAGCTCAGCTCAGGTCTTGATCTCAGGGTTGTGAGTTCAAGCCCCGCCTTAGAAGTCAGATCTCTGTACCAAGTGGAAGAAGAAAAGGGGATCTCCATGGGAGGAGTACCAGCCCCTGCTCCTTCATAGAGAATGCCAGTCACAAGAAATCCAAGAACACTTCCTAAAGGACCAACCCATCCCAGAGGAAAAACCTCTCCATCGAGTCCTTTGGAGATCCTCCCAACTCAATGGCCAACGAACAGATGGCCCCTCTAAAATAAGCTAACAGTCTCCCCACATACAGGCTGCAACAGCTCTGAGTGGTACCCTCTCAAACACAAATGCAGCATCAAGGGCCCCCAGGACCCAGGAAAGCCCCCAGCAAAAATGAGTCCAAGACACACAGAAATAAGCAGTCTCTGCAAGGCCACACACACAAAACACCAGGAAGAGAGGACACCTGACAAAGAAAAAGTCTAGTTTGCTATGAAAAGAGAAGAGCAAGAGCTACTAGAAACTTTAAAATACAATTACGAAAAAAAAATCAGCAAGAAAGCTTGGAAGGTAAGTTAAGAAATCTCCCAGAAAGAAAAATAAGGTGAAAAACATCCACTCCCATAAAAAACCTATAGGATCAATCCAGGAAGTACCATACCCAAGTAACTGTTCTTCTAGAGAGAGAAACAGAGAAAGCTGTCAAAGAATGAACACAAGACCGTATCTCAGAACTAAAACAATCCTAAGTGCCGCATTCAACACCCATACCAACGCACATCTTTCTGACATTTAAGGTGTTGGGGGAGGGGACAAGGGCAGCTTCCACGATAATGGAACAAAAAGTAGAATAACAAGGTACTTCAAGAGCAGCCCCAGATGCTAGAAGGAAATGCTGTAATACCTTCAAAATTCTGAAAAGAATTATTTTCAACATAAAATTCTATACTGAGCCAAACCATCAATCAAGTGTGAAAACACAGAAGTAGCATCCTCCGAATGACAGGGAACCAAATTTACCTCTCATACACACTTTCTTAGAACCCCAAAAATATACTCCAGCAAAAAAGGAAAACGGACCAAAAGTGAGCACAGTGTGGAGCCACAGAAAACAATGCATGTAACTCAGGAAAGCATCTTAAAAAAAAGTCAAAGATTACTACTATGCAAAAGGTTAAGAGTGCCAGCAATACAGACTGAAGCAGGAAAATGGAAGATTCCAGGAGAGAGCTCCAGGGGAAGAAAAAAGTTAACTCTTCCATACCAAAAGAAAATCTGAGGAGCAGGGAAAGCGGATTAAAAGATGAGATCCAAGGGGTGCCTGGGTGGCTCAGATGGTTAAGTGTCTGACTCTTGATTTCAGCTTAGGTCATGATCTTGGGGTCCTGGGATCAAGCTCTACAGTGAGCTCCATGCTCTGCGCTCAGAGGCTCAGCACAGAATCTGCTTGAGATTCTCTCTCCCTCTACTCCTACCCCTCCCCCCGCTCATGCACACACACACACACACACACACACACACACACACACTCTAAATAAATAAGTAATCTTTTTTTTTTTTTTAAAGATGAGATCCAAGGAGTAGAAAAGGAAAATGGTAAATCAAACACAGGTTTTCGCTTTATCCCCCAAAAGGAGAAACTATATAATAGGATGAGTTTCAGGGACAGAGAAATGAATATTTGAAAAAAAAAAAAAAATAAGGCTGTATAGCCTTATATAGCAAAGTATATGATTTTAAAAAGAAAAGCAGGGGTGCCTGCCTGGCTCATCAGTGGAGCATGGGACTCTTGATCTCGGGGTCGTGGGTCCAAGCCCCACATTGGGTGTAGAGCCTATTTAAAAAAAGAAGAAGAAGAAAGAAAGAAAGGCAATAATTAACTCCAAGAAAAACAAAAAGTTGTACAAAAAAGAAAATGCAATTACAGAACACAATTTGCTTTTCACTGAATGATATTTACATAGTCAAAATTATGTAAACATTTATGTTTGATGTAATAAAAACAGTGAGTTAATTTGCCCCCTGGAGTGGCTGGTAGGCTAAAAATTAAAACAAACAAAAAACACCAAAGAACAGAGGATGGGAAGAAAAGAAGAAATGACTGAAGAGATCAGTCTTCATTTTCCATAATAGAAAATCAACAGAAAATATCTAAATGATAAATCAAAAGATAGTAATTAAAACTAGAAGAAAATGTTGAAAGAGTTAAAAATAATTAGCTCTAAGTTCACTACTAACCTCTCAATAGAATTTGGGCTGTTTTTAAGTGTGTATACTTCTTTGATTTTACAATAGATGAGATTCAAAAATATGTTAAGGGATTTGTGACTTCTTCCACTACTTTAAGACTTTGAAAGAACTTTCCTTGGTCATGAAAAGGACTACAGACATATGTCACAGCATTTGCATAATGAAGAAATCTGTTACAGTGCATATGATGAAATAATATGAACTTACATTATTTTTTATAAATAGTTAATTACACAGAAAAAATGCTCTTTACAGGTCAGGTGAAAAAAAGCAGAGAAGAATACTACAGTCTGATCCCAAGTTTGTAAAATAAATGTAATTAGTTTCGAAGTTCTTTCCTATCTAGAAACTTGGTAACAATATAACTCAATTTTCCCCTATTTTATGGGTTTCTTTAATCCATATGAATTTCTTTGGTTCAAGTTGAGAGGTGAATATCTACCAGTTGTCCCACTATTTATTAGTAATTATTTCTTCCTGTGATTTCTGATGTTCATCAATCATGGTTGGTACAAAAACACCTGTCACTGACTCCCCCTACCTAGAATCCCTTCTAAGAGAACCTGTCCTCCACCAATAGCCCAGGTACCTAATTTTGCATTACAATCCTTTCTTCCCCATAATGGCCCAGTGGACTTAAGGTGGTCCCTGACCCTCTGGGCCAGACTGAGCCAGAGTCTCTCCAGATTCTATAGAATCCATTGAATTAACAGCAGTCACCCATGCATGCAGAATGGACTCCACACAAAGAGACAAGGCTGCTTTGGAACTGAAGCTCTAGGGAGGAAGAGAAGCCATAAAAAAAAAAAAAAAAAAAAAACGCAGACAAGTGCCTACAGAAGAGTAGAGCACAGGGACAAAATCACAAGGACATGACACCACAAGTTCTATAGGAAATAAAGGACAAGCATCACCATGCCTGAATTTCCTGGTTTAGTCCCTGGGGGGCACTGGAGCACCAAAATAGGTAAAGCAGAAACTGACAAAATTGCAAATAAAAAAAGGCGCATTCACTATCACAGTGGATGATTTTAACACACCTCTCTTAGTAACTGAGAGAACAAGCAAAAAAGAAAAAATCAGTAAGGAGATTATACTATAACCCAAGATATGAGAAAGCCAGATTACCTATATTTTTTAGAAAATGCTGGAATTTAGAAATAAAGCAGTGAGGGTTCCCTTCCATAACAGAAAAAGCTGACAACAAAATTTTCCACAACAGATAATTACTTGACTCCTGACCCCAGTTATCTGATGAGAAGACTAGTGGGATATACAGGTGTGCCAAGAAGATGTTGACGCTCTGGATGCAACAGAATTCAGTTTTCTTCACAGTATAATATCCCAAACATACATTTATCTTCTGTTTCCAACTTAAAGAGTCAGGCCTCAAAGCTGCTCATCCATCTGGATGCCCTTGTAGATAGTAGGCAAGACAAGTTATGCTGCCATATATCACAAAAATGCTACTAAAACTTTCATTAATTTAGCTTTTCAAAGGAAATTTGAACTTTCAAAAGAGTGTGGCTTGAGCTGCAGCTTATGAGTTGTCTTCTCTTCTGCATGTATATTATACTTCAATTTTTAAAATCTGAGTGCATTACTAAGATCCAAATTCAAGCACATCTATAAATCCAAGCATGACTGAGTGGGAGAAAAAAGTTTACATACACAAAAATAAAGAAGGAAATAATATTTGGCATGGGGATGGGGGTAAGGTGAGGGAGTTGCATCTCACAGGGAAAAAAAAAAAAAGAAAAACCTGCTTTACAAGACCCCCATGCTCAGCCAGCTCCATGCCAGAAGCCACCCCTTCTTCAGGTCCCTAGTCCTTCCCCAACAAGGACACCTAAACCCCAAAGTACACCCATTACTCACCATGTTACTCCCACCATGGAGCTGCTGCATGCCAAGCGTTCAGGAATCACAAATGGACCCAAAGTCTTACTTGGAGCCAGATTTCAGTACTGCCTGGAGTCCTACCTCACACATCCCTGGTGATTCTCTGTCTCTCATAGCACTGAACATGACTGGCACCCAGATCTGGGCTTCTACACACCATTGTCTTTTTTTTTTTTTAAGATTTTATTTATTTAATTGACAGAGAGAGCAAGAGAGCACAAGCAGGGGGAGCAGGAGGAGAGGGAGAAGCAGGTGCTCCACTGAGCAGGTCCCTGGAATCATGACCTGAGCTGAAGGCAGACACTTAACCATCTGGGCCACCCAGGCGCCCCTACACCACTGTCTTCTAAAAAGACCCAAGTTTTTTCTTCAAGAAACTGGCTGATTCCATGACTAGGGCAAACAAAGTATAAAATGAGCATGGAACATCTTGTTGGGCCACATGTAAGAAGTGCTCAAAGGCTGACTGAGACATGTCAAAAGGACACTGCTGAAAGGGACTTAATGGGACTCCTGCTGGTTAAATCTGGGGCAATTTGAGCATTAGAAAGAGTAAGGACTGGGGCGCCTGGGTGGCTCAGGAGGTTAAGCACCTGCCTTCGGCTGGGATCATGATCCTGGAGTCCTGGGACTGAGCCCTGCGTCGGGCTCCCTGCTCAGTGGGGAGTCTGCTTCTCCCTCTGCCCCTCACCTCGCTCGTGCTCTCTCTCTCTGTCTCATAAATAAATGAAATGTAAAGAAAGGAAGGAAGGAAGGAAGGAAGGAAGGAAGGAGGGAAGGAAGGAAGGAAGGAAGGAAGGAAGGAGGGAAGGAAGGAAGGAAGGAAGGAAGGAAGGAAGGA